CTTGACTTCTAAGCAGGTGAGCTCTCTGCTCTTACGGTATTTGGGAGTGTTCAATGAAACCATGAATGCATGTGCTTTGGAAATAGCAAGACCACTTTCTATAGCAATATATTCTCGTTAAGTTAGAGTTAAACTCCCACGTAACCTACTGATGCTTTCCAGAGTCTAGAAATTCCGAACTTTTCCCTTAACAGAGAAAGGAGGCTGTCTGGTGTGTCCTTAGCCCAGCAATGCTAGGGTGAGGGAACTAGTCCTGTGTGTCTGGATACTGTGCAGTTTGGATGTCAGTCTCCATCCTTGTGTGTGTCAATGTTTAAGCCACAGGCCTGGGTTCAAATGTTGATTGTTGGAGTTTTTTCCCTACGAGCTGTGTGGACAAATCTCTTTGAACTTCAGTATATATGAACTTCATAAGAATACCTACCCCTAAAGACTCTAGAGAAGATAATACAAGATAGAATGTATAAAGCACCAGCACAGCATAGGGTCTCAGAAAATAAACTCCCTTCTTGCCTGTGGGTGGCCAACCCCCACCCCACCTCAATGCCAAGCTAGCTCCTGGACACTCCATGGTCACTACCTACCAGCTGAAGCAAGGGGTTAGTTAACTTCAACTTTCTCTGAGTCTCTGCATAAAAAACAACAACAATGTTTGCCCTGGCCCTGGCCCTGAGCAAGTAGCTTAGCTGGTTAGAGGGTCGTCCCAATATGCCAAGGTTCTGGGTTCGATCCTGGTCAGGGCACATACAAGAATCAACCAATGAATTCATAAGTAAGTGGAATAACATCTGTTTTGATGTTTCTCTCGCTCTTTCTAAAAATCAATTTTAAAAAAGATTAAAAAAAAAAAAGCACGGGCACAAAAGAGGACACTCTTTGAGACAGGCAGACCTGGTTGCAAACCTTAGATCTGCCGCTTACTAGCTCTGAGACCATGGTCAAGCACATTAACCTCTTGGAAACTCAGTCTCCTTGTCCATAAAATGGGTCAATGAAATAAGATCATGTGAGAAGAGGCAAATAGAACTTGGCAAACAGTTAAGAGTCACTAAAGTATAACGATGATGATGGCACCAAGTACTTCTGAACTGTAGAGGAGCCCATCTTGGAGGCCCCTGAAATCCCCACCCCTATAAGGACTCGTGCCTGAGCTCCAGATGCTCCCCACACTCTCCTCAGTATTGCCCAGATTCCTGAAAACTCAGGAGGAACCATTAAGCTCACCTGGCACCACCCATCCCACTCACCAGGGGACTCCTTTACATCATAACATAAAAATGACAGTTCCCTTGTCCCTTTGACCCTCCCAGCTGTGAGAAAGATGGCTATTATTCCCCTCCCCCCATTTTACAGAGAGGACAACTGAGGAACAGTGAGGGAAGGCAATCCATGCAAGGATTTGAGCCTGGCCTGGCTTCTGAATTCCCTATGCTTTCTTGTGTAGCACTACTCTCAAGCAGTGCTTTGAGGTGGAGCATTGCTGGGGTGAGAAGGTATGGACATGTTCTATGTATACAGCCAGGAAGTTTCCAGCAAACCTTTACAGGCACCTTGTGAGCAAACAGGTACGTGCTGGGAAATGCAGAGTCTGGGGATGTTGAGACCACAGCAGACCACTCTAATGCTAATGAGTTAGAGGGCAGAGGGGACAGGGAGCCAGATGAGGAGGAGGTCTGGGCTTGGCCACAGGTGGGCAGCTGACATCCCAAGTAACCTTGGGCAAGTTTCTGAGGTTTCCTTGATCCTCACTTTCAACATAAATGGGGAAAAAAAAGATAGGTAGATAGATAGAAGCTCAGTTTAGGTAAAAAGACATCTGCAACTCTCATCATCATTACTTTGGCTTTGAAATCACCAGCTCAGAGACCCCCCACCACTTTAAAAAATTTAAAAGACAAAACAGTATAACTTAATAGTTCTGCCAACGCTTCAAAAAAAAAAAAAATCAGGGAGCACAACACTGATTTTTTTTTTTCCTCTCTCTCTCCTTTTAAATTTTGGCAAAGGAAGATTCGATTCCTGGAAATGCTTACAAAATAATTCCTGACACTGGGAGGAGATAGTTAAAAAAGGAAGAAGATGATGACTACGAAAAACTATATACATATATAGGTAAAGAAAGACGGTGGAAAGAAAGAGAATAAACAAAGAAAGAAAAGAAAGGGAGGGGGGAAAACTTTAAAAGACACCAATTCAAGGAACGTTATCAAGTTCTCAGCATCTGCGATTCACAAGCCGCTCCCCGACCGGCGGCGCAGACCCCGCCCCTTTCTCGGGTGTCGGACGCTGATTGGTGGGGGAGGCCGTCGCCGGCCGGTGACTGCCCGAGGAAAGGTTGCCTGGGACACGCATCCCTGTGTGAACGCATGACGTCCCACCCTGGCGCCAGGCTGTCTGGGGCTGAGTCTTAGATCAACACAGCTGTGGGACCGGGACCCACAGCTGGGCAAAGGAGCGGATTCCTCAACAAAAAATAGGATTGTGAGAAAAGTTCTGAAACAAAAACAGTGCAGACAAAAGCCTTAATGACATCCTTTCATAAAAATAAAAAATGCAAGAGGGGGGAAAAAGCTGGTAAAAGAAGCAGAACTGGGAACAGAAAGTTCAGAGACATTTGGAATAAGAGGCTGAGGCCCCGCCACCGCTAAACAAGTTGCAGAAGGCCTGAGCTAGCCCTCCAGTCTGCTGTTGGGAACAAGAAGTCTTTGGGGTTCAAACTGCATTCAGTGTTCCAACCTTAACCTGCTTGTTCAGAATTAGAATGTTAGATTGAAAGGACCCTGAGAGGTCATTTGCACCCCTCACCCCCAATTTTACAAAATGTGAGGCCCAGGAAGGAAGGAAATGCATCTAGGGCCACACTGCAAGCACTTGGCATGGCCAGGGCAGAATTCAGCTTGCTTACCCCACTGCGTCCCTCTCTTGCCTTATGTCACACAGCCCAAAGGCATTTCAGTGTGAAAGCATCTTGGGAAATAATAAATGTGAAGGTGTTTTGCAAATGGCTTTACAAGCCTGAGGAGAACCTGTGAGGACCTGTGGACCGCGCACCTACCACACACCTGGCCCATACTGAGTCCCCAGGCACCAAGGAGACTAGCAGATCTGATGGAGAGAGCATGCCAAGCGCCTTTCAGAGAAGAGGCATTCAACAATTATTTGTTGAAAGGAATGAGGTTGGTCTAATTAGGTCAATTTTGTAAATTAGAAATTGAGGCACAGAGAAGTGACCTACCCAAAGTTCACATCATTAGTAAAAGCGAATGGGGATTTGAACATAAATCTGCCTGCCCCTGAAGACCATGATTTTTCCAGAACCTCCTGGGCTTTGCCATTTTGCCCAAACCACGGCAATCTGCATGATAGAAAAGAAAGGGGTTTTCTATTTGGTCATTCAGGAATTTCCATAGCCACCATTTTCCCTTTCTATGACCAACTAGCTGACATGCTCTTCACTTCATGTCTGTAAGTATATATAGACTGATTTGTCCATTCACTGGTTATTTTCTTCCTTTTTCTTATATTAAAAAGGCTAACCTTGAAAATATTCATATCTCTCAAAGATCTTTCTTGGGATACAAGCCCTGTGGTATGACAGCGAAGAACAAGACTTCAGGTCTGGCTCTGCCATTATTTGTGATGTGACATTGGACATGGTTTATAGCCCTTCTCTGTACCCTTTATCACTCCACACCTGCCCGTCCCAAATCATAAAGCCTTAGACTTCTAGAGTTGGAAAGAATTTAAAGTAAACAGCACCAGCTCCTCCTTTTATTCATAAGGCAAGTGAGGCTAGAGTAGCTGGACTTGTTCAAGATCACATGACAAATTTTTGGCAGGGCTGGGATATTGAACCTAAGGCTCCTGATTTCCAGTCCCCTGTCCTTTTTTACTATGACTCTTTTGAGACTCTCCTAGCTCTGAGCTTTCATTGTCCTGTTAATCAGTGCCACATACTATAGAACTCTTAATTGCTTCCTGTGTTAATCTTGTCTCCCCAAATTGTGACATTCTTGAGAGCAGGAGCCACTGCTTCCAACTGATTGATTGAGGAAGCAACCATTGGGGGATCCCACTTGGTCAGTGTCAAGATGGAAACCAGCATTTTAAGGCTGCAAATTCCCAAAAGTTTTGGGAAGTGATAAGAAGACGAGCAAAGAATACTGAATGGAATGTCCTGCTGCAATGCAGAGCTTAACTTGCCTGTCCTCTGGTTCCTTTCCTGGGCTCTCAGATAGAGCTGGAGCTATTTTAGCAAGGCCTAGAATAATCAAGTCCAGGTGGCTTGCCTTTCCATAGCAGAGAGGGATAGACAATAGAGCTTATGGTATCACCAAACTATTGTTTTCTGCATTGCATAGAGGTGTTTAGAGAGTGGGGAGAAAGGAGGAAGCAAGAGTTAAGAGATTTGCTGACTCCATGGGGGGCTCCTAAAAGGTTATATAGAAATCATCCCTTCTGACACACACACACACACACCGTTTAAAACCCTGTCCAAAATTCTAATCAAACTCACTTCCAGCACATAACTGGGCATATATTTGGCTCCTTATGGAGTGCAGGGGGCCAGAAGGTGGGAGCTCTTTTCCTTCCCCAGGCAAAAAACATGGATTCAGTCTCCCCCGCCCCTCCCCTGTTGCTCAAATAGTGTTTTTTGCTCAAACCCCTTCTCCCTCCTCCTTCTGTAATCTCAGCGCCTAGCCCAAATCTGTTTTCTTCATTGTAACCTCAGCTTCACCGCAATTAATTTTTTTCCCCTCTGGTCACAAGATAATTCCTGACGCCAGTGAGTCTGGAGGTCAGACAACAGCAAATTGGGGAACAAGGCGGCACTAATTCCTTACAAGTTTCCCTTGAAAAATCTTTTGCTTTAAAAAAAAAGAAAGAAAGAAAAGCTTCTTTGCTGTTCAGGGATTTATGACCTCGGAGGAACTGTGGGTTCGAAGTAGTGTTGGGGCTGTGGGTGGACTGGCAGGGGGCAGGGGAGCTCAAAGAATCTGGGGCGCTGCCAGGAAAAGGCAAATTCTTAAAGTTAATGGTTTTAAGTGATTTTTGAAATCCTTGCTGGCAAAGAGGCCCGCCTCTCCCCAGTATCAGCGCTTCCTCATTCTTTGAATCCACGACTCCGCGGTATTCGGCGTCAGACCAGCCGAAGAAAGCCTGTTTGCAATTTAACCGCGCTGTGAACGCCCAGGGTCGGCGCAGGCGGGGCCTCGGCGGGCTGTTTTGCATAAAGGGGCGTGTCTTCCAGCCGGGCTCTATAAGTACCGGCCTCGGCGAGCGTGCACACATAGCAAGCTGCTGTAGGAATTTCTTTAGCTCTCTCGACCTTGGCACTTCCAACCTCATCCCTCAACATGAAGGCGTTAAGCCCGGTGCGCGGCTGCTACGAGGCGGTGTGCTGCCTGTCGGAACGCAGCCTAGCCATCGCGCGGGGCCGCGGCAAGGGCCCGGCAGCCGAGGAGCCGCTGAGTCTGCTGGACGACATGAACCACTGCTACTCGCGCCTGCGGGAACTGGTACCCGGAGTCCCGCGAGGCACTCAGCTTAGCCAGGTGGAAATCCTGCAGCGTGTCATCGACTACATCCTCGACCTGCAGGTGGTCCTGGCCGAGCCCGCCCCTGGACCCCCGGACGGCCCGCATCTTTCCATCCAGGTATGCGTGGGCGTGCGCGGGAGCCAGGGGTAGGGCTGAGCGCCAGGGCTGGGATGCTGCTGCACCCCTCGAACTCCCAAGTGCCATCCATGCTTAACTCTTCTTACCTCTTTTTCTTTTCTCAGACAGCGGACCTCTCTCCGGAACTTGTGATCTCCAACGACAAGAGGAGCTTATGCCACTGACCTGGCCTTCCCGGCGCCTCCAGGTGAGTATCCCCACCTTCTCGGGGGTTGTGGGGATGGGGACGCGGTGGTGATTGAACAGTAAATCTTAGAATTGGAAGGCCTTTTAAGGGATTATATACCACCTCTGTTTAGAGAAACCAAGGCCAGAGAGGGGCAAGTAACTTGACCGTGGTCACATCAAATGAATGACGGAACCCATTTTCCTCCCTGTGCGCGTTTCAACCTTAAACGCACGTTGCTATTGCCCTCCCCCAGTGGCCAGAGATCCAAGAAAGGACGCGCAGGTCCGACTAAATAAAACAGCCGTTCAGTTAGTAGTTTGGAGTCGTAAACGGAGCCCTCCCAACTGGTGTCAATTCCAAGAGGGAGGGGTGGCGCAAGCTCCGCCTGTGGTCCTTTGGCGCCAACTGGGTGGGGGTAGCGTGGGGCGCGGAGTTATCAGCTGGAGGTAGAGACCAAGTTTCCTCCCTGGCGCCGGCCAGTCTGCGGACGGCCCCCGCCTCGGCGCGCTCGGCGGAAACTGACGGCTCTCTGGTCTTTTTTTCCTCCCCCACCCAGAACGCAGGTGCTGGCGCCCGTTCCGCCTGGGACCCCAGGACTCTGTGGCCGGAAGCCCGAGGGCATGGATGGACCCCAGCCTCTCCCTGCCCACTTCACTTCCCAAACCCCTGCCTCGAGGCTGGACCTGGTGCCCGGGAGCGAAGGACTGTGAACTTAGGTGGCCTGAAGAGCCAGAGCAAGCTCTGGGCACCGACTGGGCAACGTCACCCAGCCCCACCCCACCCCCAAGTTCTAAAGACTGTCAAAGAGTGTGGAGGGGTGTGTGGTGGGGGGGACAGTGGCTGCTCCAAACTCTGCCAAGGCCAGCAGTAGAGCTGGCCTTCTGGTCTCGGAAAAAGGCTGTTGCCCCGATTATGAACTCTATAATAGAGTATATAGCTTTTGTACCTTTTTTGCAGGAAGGTGACTTTCTGTAACCATGCGATGTATGTTATTAAACTTTTTATAAAAGTTAACATTTTGCATAATAAACGGTTTTTAAACACTTGGGTGTATAATTTGATTCCATCAGTGCGAACACTCTCACAAGGCTGAATTTAGGGGAAATAAATGTTCTTGGAGTCTGGGGAAAGCAAACATTTATTCTCTTTTAAAGGAGATGGGAAAATGCCCAGCTAACAGTGGGGTGGAGGGAGGGGAGGTAGAAAGGGCTCAGGACGGGAGCCCTACATTCATTGAGGGTTGGCCCAGAGAATATCCTGGGCCTCTGAGGGGCTGTGACCCACCATTAGCTCACCCAGCAAGCTGGGCGCTCAGGATAGAAATCAGGTCTGCGGTCCCAGTTCTTAAGTCCCTTGGGGTTTTTGTGCTACGCTAGCAGATGCCTGTCGCCTTCAATCCATTACTTATTCATGCCTTTCTAGCAGGGGATGTGGAAGAGGAGAGCCTCACCTGGTGCCCAAACAGGTGGTGGTTCATAGACCCACTTCAGAAATGAACAAACGGGTCACTGGGTCTGGTTTCACTTCCCTCCGCCTGCTCTCTGGTTTGGCTTCCCCTTGGGCTTCCAAAATTGGGAAACATAGGAGAGGGGTGTCTTCCCTCAAATCCCCAAACATCCTGATCAGGGTTTTTGGTGCTGGTTGGGAAATACTGGCACCAATCTCTCCTCTACCATCAGGTAGTTGGAGACTTTGACCCTGAGCTGGGAATTGGAATAAAGAGGCCCTCCAGCCTCATCCCTTCTGGCATTTCCTTCCCAAACACCTGCATTGGGAGCCTTCTCGGTGAGCAAGCATCTTCATTCCTATTTCAGAAATGGAGAAACTGAGGTTCAATGGATAATGGGTCGGAGCCAGATTATCACACACAGCGCCTTGAGAGGCAGAGATGGAATTTTAATCTTAACTACAGTGACTAACATTGTGACAGGAGCAGGGCCTGAGACTGGATATTCCATGGGGCCAGGCCCCCAACCCATGCCCCTTTGCCCCCTACCTGGCAGCTCCCCAGGTGGGTTCCACCGGCATCTGGCCTCACTAGATTCCCGTTTATGATATGATCTCATCTGTGTGTTGGCTCCTGGCATGAATTAGTTCAATATTTCATAACAAACAGCTCACGTCATCACCACCCTTAACGCTTTAACCCTGGTGAGCTTCAGGGGTGAACAGGGGCATGTGGTGGGGAGGCAACCAACCTGTCTTTGCCAGCTATCCTCCCAGCCACCCGGTGGTTCTCAACCTGTTTTCTGGTCTCCTCTGATGATCTGATGGAAGGTATGAACGCTCTCTTCAGAACATAAACACATACAACTTTGCAGAGCAATAGCCAATCTCCAATTCCCTGGGAAGCCCTCAGTCTTTCATATGAGGAACTCTTACCTCAAGACAAGAGGTACAAGACCCAGGCTGGATCATTAGTTGGGTGTGCTGTACTGGCTCTGGAGACAGCCACACCAGGGTGCAAATATTTGCTCTGCCACATACTGGCTGTATAACTGAGCCTCAGTTTTCACATCTGTATAAACTTGCTGATCTTGAGGATACGATTCTGAGGCACCTGGCCCCACATCACACCATTAATTGCAGTAGAGCCAGGCACTGAACTCAGCATTCTGTACCTTTTTTGCTGCTTCCTGCTTGCTCAGAAGTTTGGGGCTGTGGAATGCTAGAAAGAGCAAGCCACTTCACCTCTCCAAGCCTCTCTGCTCCCTTGCCCAGCAGCTGGTGGTTCTTGTAATGCTGCCTCCCTGGACAGAAGATAATGGTGGGAAAGTTCTTTGAAATGCATCACACACCTACAAGGTATTATTAAGCTAATTCCAAGGAAATTGCCTGTTAGGTCTGCTGAGACTGAGCTGTTCAGGTGGCTGAGACAAAAGCTGAAACCAGCACACCAATTCATTAGTCCTTAGAGAGTGAAAGCAATTTAGCCCTAAGGTCAGAAAACTCTCAGAAAAGAGCATAATGTCTTCTGTCATAATCACCTATCCAGTGCCTACCAAGTGCCAGACTCTATTTTATCTTAATTTTTCTAATCCTTATCAAAATCCATAAAGGTCTCATTATTTCCACTTTACAGAGAAAACGGACCCACAGAGGCTGAATAACTCGATCCAGGTCACACAGCAAGGATTTGTAAACCCATCTCCATCTCGCTTCAAAGCCATGTTCTCGCCTCTGCTCCAGGCCGGCTTTCCCCTCACCATCCCCTGGGCCTGGCACAGACTAGGTCTCCAGCGGGTGCTGGCTGAACAAAGACCTAAGACCACCCTAGGTCTCCTTTTCATTTGCAAAAGGATGATGGTACCTCCCTTGCAGGTTTTGGTTCATGTCAAAGATAACACGCCTAAAGCATCCACCAGGCTCTCTGAAATACAAACTTCACTTTTAATTGCGTGTCTCAACGTGCATTACACATCAGCTCTCATATGCGGACATTTGGAAGAAATTTTTACTTTGTAAAAAAAAAACCAAAAAAACACACAAAAACAAACAAAAGAACAGACTTGGATCAGGCACAGTAACTTGCCCGCGTCCACACAGCTCTTAAGCCACAAGACAGGGGCTTGAATCCATGTCTTGTGACACGGGACGTGGTGGTGCCCATTGGAGAAGGCCATTTATAGAGCTCCTCCGAGCCGGGGGTGCGCTGGACAACCTCCCATGATCTGTCTCCCAGGCCTCACCACCTCTCACAGCCACCCCTCTTCTCCATGCCCCAGGCTGCACCCTAAAACCTCCTGTCGCTCTTTCCCTCTGAGATGCTGCTCGGGGTGCCCGCTGCCCGCTGCCCGCTCCCCGCCCAGCAAGAAGAGAGCTGCTCTGCACGGAGGGCTGCTCGCAGGCGGGCGGGGGCGGAGCCTCGGCCACGTGGCCCCGAGCCCGGCCGAGCCGAACCCGCGGCCCCG